GAATGAATGTATAGTGTCGATCTTTTCTATAAACTGAATCGAAGTAATAAATCGTGACAAATCAAGGAAAGTGTGGAATGTATAAAATAGGTGTACCGTCACTTGCCCTAAGTGGTCCATAGTGCATATCCTAGTCTGATGACTGAAAAATATGCATGCTAAGAAAATTAATATAATCGATGATCAATTGAAGATGTGGCCTCCATTTTTGTAGCAATTTTCCTTCACTGCATACAAAAGTTTGACTCTGTTCTCGCAACTTGGTCATATTGTCGGGTCGTCCTCAATGAACCTAACCTGCTATAGTAATCATGATAATTTCCAGCTTCGTATTGTGGACATGGTACAGTCAGGTAGGTTTTGTTGATATTGTGGTCGGTATCAAGGTGCCCCGTCAGTCTTGATACAAGGCCGCAACCTACCTCTGAAAATACTTTCTAAGTTTGAGCATCAGAGTATTGTAAAGGACAGGAACTAGCTTTGTAAACGCATGAGAAATAAGCGAATGGCAGCACGGTTTGGAATATGTAGAGTGAGCAGACATAAATAAAAAGTAGATAATACAGTCCTGTGTCAAAATAAGATGCAAAACTGTACATTTTATCATAAAACGGAAACATGTACGAGGATAGTACGGTTCTTTACACCGTGAAAGCCCATCCGCACTTAAAGTTTCAAAGGAATAAAGCTAATATTAACTCCCAACATATACTCCACAAAATATAAATGACTAGATTAGTAATACACAGAAAACCTACCTGGGCTGGATGTATTAAGAGAGCTTGACGAATCCAGTGTCTCGTATAGTCCGGCTTTCCCTTCAAGGTCTCTTGCGATAATAAGTATCTTGAGTTGCTTTGACCTTATCTGTTTTCGTACTTGGTTAATACCACATACCAAACGACGAGACTTCTTTTGACGATAAGGATCATGAATGAATGTGGTATAGGCCCGGTCGTGATAGGATGCCAGGCGCGACAAGAAATCGCGGATCAATTGGTCAACTTCTGGCGTTTTTTTGTATATCAGACGCTTTGTATCCTTATGATCTGGGTCAGCGTGCACGAATTCTGTCTCCAGTGGAGGGAATGCATCAGTTCGTAGTTCTATTCCGGTAGGAACTCTCGATTCAGGCGCGGGAGCTGATGATGAACGTTGTTTTAACCTAGTGGCGCGGTCTTCCAGTATCATGCGCTTTAAGGGAGTTAGCTTTTTAGCCTTGGGGTTCATCCTCTGTTTTCCGACGCGCTCAGGCAGAGTAGAAGCAACTTTGGAGACAGGACATGAGGACTTAGAGCGCTTGGGTTTTACGGGAGTCTTCTGCAAAAGACTAGAAATATCCAACGCTATAGGTTTCCTTAATCTAGAATTAGGTTTACTGTGTAAGAAAACTGAAGACATTTTAATGTCTTCATTTTTTGAGTGCTTTGGTGAGCATGAATTGGTTTTCGGAACGGCTTGATCAAATAAATTACCCTTGGGATCCAGCTTAGACGAGTGACACAAAGAGGGCTTCAAGTCACGGGATGTCGCAGACCAAGATTTTACTGGAGTATCATCACTGGCCTGATTGTTATGAATGCAGTTCGAAGTTTTCAATGAATTTGTAGTTTTTAACTGGCTCTTTGAGGAAAAACCCGAAGTTTTTCTTATAGATGCTGAATGCATTGGCCGCATTCTAATATCAAGGGAGCCGGAGTTTGGTTTAGAAGGCTGCTGAGTGTCATTGTGGATACCAGCTTTTGGAGTGGTACTTTCATGTAAACGATCCCGGTGGGCCGGAACTCTAGCTTTAATTGACTCACAGTGATGAATCTCAACAGAGGGCGCCGAGTTGAGGAAGTTATTGCCGCATCTTGAGAGATTCCTCATGTCGTCAGATCCAGTCGGATCGATCACACCAAATAAGTTGTAAGTTTCCAACTTTTTGCTTAAATGGACGAGATTATCGCAGGCTAGCTCAGTAAAGACGGGAATTCTGGATGTATGAGCAGAAGTAAGTATACGCCTGATGATTCCTTCGAAGGTATCTAAATTAAAAGTTGTAGGATGGATTATTAATTACTTATGATAAAGCTGAAATAGCGTAAACAATAATACTAAGGGACTACTAGATATCACTGGTTGGAAAAATAAAGCAGCATACATCCATTGGCCCGACCAAATCGCCTAAAACGAGCATTGATTGCTTATTGAAAAAACTATCAGGATGTTTCCCATTGAAACTATTTTAAGGTATTCAATTGATAAACTCACCAGAGTGAAAGTGTGAAATTTCGGGTTTTTTCCATTTGAAACCTTTACCAATAATCAAAGCTCCAATCCGGCCCTTGTGAATTAAGCTCAAAATGCTCCTTGGGTCATGTATTATACGACCATGAAGACACGCCAGATGCAACATAGATTGATACTTGGTTAGAGAATTCAAAAAAATATCCGCGCTAGCACTTCGCCTAGCGTAATCTACTGCCTGAACATATG